CATTTATAACTATATTATCTATAACTACAATATACGCATTTTCTATGTCTAATTTATCTAATTCTTCTAAATCTTCTTCCTTTATTATAGCTTTTTTAGCTATTAAGGCCTTTTAAGCCCTATAAAGCTTATTTCTCTTTATATTAGTCCTTTATTACCTTAGGACTTCTTCCTTAGTATTATCCTTATTTTTCTAGCCTTTAAAGGCCTTAATAAGATATAAAAAGTTATAATCTTTAACTATATAGTTTTTTAATTTATAATATACATAGTAAACAACTTTTATCTTTTTCTAAGGCTTTTTAATTCCTTTTCTAAAAGTAGAAGTAGTATATAATACTATAAAAGAACCTTTTCTTTTTGCTTTATTTATAAGATTTACAAAAAGGAATTTTATAGTATAGGAATTTATATCCTTTCTAAGGGCTTAGGTTATATTAGTTATAAAACCTTTATAACTATTATCTAGACTATTTAATACCTAAGCTATAATAACTTATTTTAATAAAGCTATATCTTTAGAAGATAAGTTATCTATAAGCCCTTTTACCTTATTAAGGTATTCTTTTATAAATCTAAAGGATTCTAAAGAGGTATTAAAGAACTTTTTATAAATAAAATATTTATTAATAAAACTAATAAGTTTATTTAGATCCTTTAGTTTCTTTTAGGCCTTATATCCTATTATAAAGTCTTTTATAACCCTTAAAAAGAAATTCTTATAAAATAACTTTATAAAAGCTAATAGTTTTATATTACTCTTTTATTAAAAAGGTATAGTTAAAGGGGTTTTAAGACTAAAGTTAATATTTTTACTAATAAGTAAAGCCTTAAATCTAGTTACCTAAACATTATAGTTAAGGCTATTAAAAAGGTATAGTATATAGATTTTTTCTATAGTATTAATTCAGTTTAAATTTAATTAAAATATATAGATTTTAGTTGATTTTGGCTAATTAGAGAGAGATATTAGTATTCTAGTAGTACTATTAAATTCATCTTAAAAAATAGGCCTTAAAAGTGGTTAGGTTGTTATAATATTGTTATTAATAGTATAGTGTTATATAGTTACCTTAAGTTAAAGATATATATAGGCCTTTAATTAAAGAAGCTTTTACTAGACAGTAAAGCAGTTAATCTAGTAGTTTAGCTATTTTTTAAATTAACTAATTAAATTAATAACTTAATTAGAGCTCTTAGGTTTAATTTTAGCTTAAGGTATATAGTCTTTGTTAGATATAGACTAGAAACAACCTTTAACTAGTAAAATAGGATTAAATTATGATTAGCCTAGAGCTATAATAGTATAAAATATAGTAATAAGTGTAGTACTTGCTTAATAAGCCGGTCCCTCTATTCTACTAAATATAGACTACTAGGTGTAAAGTGTAGTTACCTTAAAGCTATATTCCTTAAAATTCTTTTAGTTAATATAGTATATCCCTTAACAAGGTTAAGTTTTTGTTATATAAAATAAAGGTATAAGTATAAAGGAAAATAAAAAGGTATAAGAGTTATATTTTCTACTAAGCTAGGCTCATAACTAGTAAAAATAACAAGGGGTTATTCAAAATAGTCACAAAGAGAAGTAAAGAAAAATAAAATAGACAAAAAAAGTATATATATATATTAACCGTTAAGGTATTATTATAATTTATTATTGTTTAAAACTATCTAAGTAGAGGAAATATCTCTTAGTCATATAGAAAGTCCCTTAGACACATATAGTATCTAAGCATATATCTAAGCGTATATCTAAGCGCTAAGAAGTACTTATATGTTTCTTGTATATATATATATATGCCTATATATACCTATAGATAGGTATAAGCGCTAGTATATATAATACTTAGAAGTATATACGTTTATATACAGTAGACTATATTAGTTTATAGTAGTTTATATTAGTATAGTTATATATAGTAATATATACTTTTATAAGTTATTTTTCAAGAAGAATCTAGAAAGAATAAATATATATTTATAGGACTTTTAGTTATAGAGTTATAAAGAGATTTATATATAAGAATTATAAGAATTTTACTTCTTAATTCTTAGTATTTTAATTGTATTTCTTGTTATAGTAGTTGTTTAATGCGTTAATTACAAAGTATTATTTTTAGGATATTATAGATAAAAGTAGCCTTCTATATAGATAATTTTAGGTCTTTTTTAATAGCTTAAAGTATAAAAAGAATGTAGCTTTTATTTAAAGTAAAACTTATTATTATGTATAGAATAAAGCTAAGAGAAAGAGGGAAGGTGTAAAAGGAAAGAGAAGTAAGCGACTTATTATAATAGGCGACTCACTATATATATACGTTATATAAGTATTAATAAATCTTTTAGGTCCTTTAAGTTAATTAGTTATAGTTATAAAGTTTAAAGGTCTTTACTATAAAGTATTACTTTTAGTATTTTATTATAAATAGAATATAAATAAAACTAGTATTATAAAAAGTAAAAAAAGTAATAAGTTAATACTAGGTTTTATAGTATTATAATATATTTAGAAAAAATAGCTTAAATTTAAGGTATTAATATTATTAATTAAGTACATATTTATTATTAAAACCTTTTTATTTTTTTAATTATATATAAGAGTAAACTAATTTAAGCTTAATAGTTTTTGTTATTTATTTTATTTAAATATATTAATTAATATTTTATAATATTAGATAATAGCTAAATAAATAACTAAATTACTTTTAAGTAACTAGAAAAAGTCTTTATTTTAAGGACTATACTTAGTTAATTAAATAAGGCTAAGCTACTATTTTTAAATAATTATTATAGCTATATAATAATAAACTTTATATAATAATACTTTTAATATTATATTTATTTATTATTTTTATTATTGTATTATTTTTTTATTTTTTAGCCTTTAAATATATTAGTTTTTAGTTTATTAAAGTAAATATATTAAAAAAAAACTAAAAGTCTAAGTAATTAAATAAATAACTTAATTATTATTAATAAAAAAGTGTTTTTAAATTATTTTTTTAATATATATAAAATAATAATAATAACTTAAAATATAAAATTTAATTAAAAATAAGTTAAGTTATAATTAATATTCATATATTACTTTTTATTTAATTCTTTAATATTAAAAGTATTATTTAATTAATTAATTAACTAATAAAATAATAACTAATAATAAAATAAAATAATATTTATTATTTTATAATTAACTTTTCATAACTTTATTAATTTATAATATTAATTATATTTATTTTATTAATTAAATAAAAATACTTTAAATACTTATATTATTTATTACTTATTTAAAAAGCTATAAAAAAAATATAATAAATAAATATCTAGACTAGTAATTATAAAGTAATAAGTTAATAATCTATAGGCTTATCTAAATAATTAGTATAAAGGCAAAAAGAAAAAGGTCCTTATATCTTTTAATAGCACTTTTACAATAATAGCCTATATCTAGCGGGCACAAAATACGGATATCGGCGATACAGATAGTCTAGATGAATCCAGCGCATCTGAATTATCTAGTGAAGCCGAAAGTTGCATCTGGGTGGGTGGAAGAGGGAGTGAAATAAGTGGTGATAGTGGTAGTGATGGTGGTGTCGATGGTGGCTCGGATGTGGGGGTGGCTCGTTAACAGGGTGGTTGTGTTATACAGCACCACCGTTCCTCTGGCGACCCGGTGACAGCATTCCCACGATAACCAGCATTTTCCAGAAATTGCCAAAGGCATCATTGCCAGAAGCTTCCGGAGAAATGACTCATCGGTGCCAAGATCAAACCACAACCCAAGACGTTGCGTCAGCGACCCTCGATGTTGACATGCCTTAGTGGACGGGCCTTTTTGATGCAAGCCTCTTGCCTCTTGACCTCCCAATTTTCTACTAATTCAACAGCACAAGGGCCACGAGCGTCTGTGACGCAGCGTGCTCAAGGTTTCACGCATGCATGTGGACTGTCGAGCATGGGCTGGACCTCACACATGTCCAAGTAAAATGCAAGGACGCATAGTTTATCATGCGATCACGAGGTCTCGAGATTGGTATGCTGGAAAGGGAATTACTTGAAGAGTCTGAAATGCGGACTGATCAACTTCAGAATCAATTGCGCGACCCTAACGTCTAGAATGCTGTGCAGCAATATCTTCTCCTTCACGGCATCGTTGGGAACCGCAACATCTTCTGGAGTGGTATCAACGAGTCTGGAGTCGAGATTTTCTCGATCCGCCTAGCGAGAGGGGCGGAAAGTGACCCAAAGCTTCGGAATATGCTGGCTGTCATGATCTTTGATGTCTTGCAATACCTTCATGTGGAAGCACTAGAGGGCAGATAAAGTTTCGCTCAAGGCGCTGCAAATAGTATATGGCAATCTTTGCGGGTCAACACTGCGCGCGCTGGACGGTGACCTTCCGGATAAGGTTAGCCCCATTTTTTTCGCGTACAGGAATGTGCACCAGAAACCATCATCAATGTCACGATTTGACAGAGCGCGATGTGACGCTGGAGAATTTTTCCAGCTTTGGCTGTTACAGCAAATTTGGTCTAGAGGCGAGCTCTGGGCAGATCGGTTGAAGGACGAGGCAACAACGTACCTGGGTTCTAATCACGAGAACAACGAGAGCGTTAGTGAAGGGAATGCCGCTGAGCACCCAAGGAGGAGATCCTCTAATCGCCACAAAAGGGTTCCTATTGAGATATCACAAAACGGTGATGTCGGTGGGTCGCTCGTGTCAGTGTTCAACGTTGATGGCCCTTGCACCGTCGTGACGTCTTACTACTCAGACTGGGAGATGCTCTCCCACCCAGAGTGCCGGCGAATGACTATCTACTGTAAGGGGGGGTTCTTTCGACCGGAGACGGTATAGGGCCTCGAGAAAGATCAAGGGCATATGAGAGATTATGCAGCTCCCAAGCACACGCACATGTTTCACTGACTAGGTGATTCTCTAATATCGCTAATGTTCTGGTCATTTCTTCTGTCGTCAGGTTTGTTTGAAACTAAACTATTTATGCCGACCACCGCAACCTCAGGAAACCACCCAAATTGCTTTGGTCGATGGCAGAAGCCTCTTTTAATGCGCTATGAATCTCCCAAATTTTCTCACAGTCTTTCTCCGGTTCGCTGTACCACGCTTCGAGGTCTTTGCCGATCATGATCGCATCGTTGGCAGGGGAGTTCTCCGTTCCGGCCTTTGTGGGGATTTGGCGGGGATCGGACTGGTCCATTTCAGAGAGCGATCAATGTTTTCCATAGCGATCAGAGGGTGGATGTTGTGTGATGCGTCATTTACCCAGAGATTATCGTGATTATTTCTCTGAGAGTACAGGGATAAGGCTTTCAACGAGACATTGGTAAGCTGTGATGAATGATTCAACCCAGGTCGTCGCGTGAGGTGGGGTACTCTATGATGGAGAGAAGAGCATTCCTGCACATCACGTGCGTGGGCCTCTAACCATTCGTCTTGGACTTTTAAGAGCAGATTTGAATGTTAAGAACGCATATAGCGCTTTTGAATAGACATAATTAGATACAGATTCAATGTTAGATACGCGTTTAGTGACTAGCTAAAGGGCTTTTAGCGCAGAGATATATGTCCGCGTGCCTTACAGGCCTTTTTCGACATAGAAAGTTGGCCCCTACAACCTGAGTTACATAGGTAGTCATACCGACTCGAGCTTCCCCGACTGTCACACCCTATTTCTCTCTTTAACAACACTACAGAATAGAATCTCGGCCTTCGACAGGTTGCAGATAAAGGGCGTGATCAATGACTGCGGTAAGAACTGAAATGTGCAATAAGAATTTCAAATGTGCAATAACACTAGCCACAAGTACCCTCTAAACTCAAATTATGTCGCACTAGGCCTAAAACAGGAGGGTATATCATAATTATAGTTCTAGATTATAGAACCTTACGTTATTACACATTTACTATATACCTTAATAAAAAGAGACTTTATATAATATAAATTATTAGTTATTTCTTATTTTTTTATATAAATTCTTACTATATTTAAAACTTATATTAATATTACTATAGTTATTACTATACTTTAAAAACTATTTCTTTATTACTTATTACTATAATTAATTACTATAAATAATTTATTATAAAATTTAACTATTTTATTATAATAATTATATTTAGTACTATTATGGTAAAATATTAAGCTAATAAAAATAAGAATAAAAAAAAAGTTATTAATAATAGTAGTATTATAACTATACACTAAATATATTAAAAGCTTTTCTTTAGTTTAAACTACTATTTCTTATACTTTTTTTACTTTAATAAATAGTAATTTTAAGTATTATTAAAATAACTTATAAATAATATATCTTTATAATTATCTTAAAACCTTTTTATTAAGCAAAAAGTATTTATTTATTTATTTATTTTATCTTATAGTAGTAATCTTAATTAATAAGCTATTATTTATTTTTTTTATATTAGTTAATTAACTATATCTTTAGTTTAAAATAAAGTTTTACTATACCTTATAAAGCTTTATAAGGTATATATTATTCCCTATAAAAAAGCTAAAGTCTTAGAAGAAATTAAAGGTAATAAAAAACTAAGTAAATACTTTACTAGTTATATTAAAGTAATTAATAATACGCTTATTAGCATATATATTCTTACTACTACTTAAAAGAAGTAATATAATTAAAAAAAAATAGTTTCTTAAAATATCTTTACTATTATTTATTTTAATAGTAGCTTTTTATTTTTACTTACTAAAGCTAAAGGGTTAATCTATAATACTAATTTAATTAATTTTATAAATATTAAAGGGTTTTAAGTCTTTAAAGGCTAGTATTTCTTAAAGGATATAAGGTTTAATGCTTAAAATAATATTATTATTCTTTATTTAAAAACCTATTACTATTTATAAGATTTTAAGGATATAAATAAACTACTAGAAATAGCTTAAGAGTTATATAATCTTTAATATAATTATCTTTAAATAATTATTAAGTAAATATTTAGTTACTTAAAATAAAAATAAAAAATAATTACTTTTTTAGCTTTAAAGTATAACTTAAATATATAAGTATAAATTATTTATATAATAATAAGCTTATATAACTTTTTATTTTACTATATTAAGGATAAGAAATATAATAGTAATATAAAAAACTAGCTTAATATAAATAAAGTTAATAAAAAGGCTAATAGGTAATATTTAAGTTAAAGTATAAGATAAATTTATAAAAAGATAACTAAAGTAACATAAAAACAGTAATAAATATAAAAGAAATAAGAATTATTATAACTAATTACTATAATTTATACCTCTCTTTTTTAAATATCTTCTACTATCTCTTTAATAAAATTAAAGTTATAAGCTTATATAGCCTTATAAGCTATACTAAAAACCTTCTTCTAAAAGGTTAAGTATACCTTAATAAGTAGCTAAAGCTAAAAATAAAGTAATAAAACCTCCTATAAAGGCTTAAAAGCCTTTATTATTAAGTAACTAAATCCTATAGTTACCTCTAAGTTAAAAGTAACTTTATCTTATATCTTTATAAGACTAAGAAGAATCTTTTCTTAAGAGAATAAAGCAAAAGAGTCTTAAACCTATATTTATATTAGTAATTTATAGTAATTAGTTATAGTAATTAGCTTACCTCTTTAACTAACTACTTAATAGTTAGCTTAAAGTCTTAAGTTAAGTAGTAACGTTAAACAGTATAAAGGAAACCTTTACTCTATTAACTTATAGTAAAGTAATATTAGAGAATAAATTACCTAAAAAATAATTAATTAATAAAATCTATTAGTTATAAAATTTTAATTTTATTTATTTCTTTTTTTAATAGAAACAGGAAATAATTTTTAAGAGCTTATGGTCTCTAAAAGTAAAGACCTTCTAATACTTAGTTAGGACTAACTAAAGAAGAGATTTCTCCTTTATAAAGATATTTGTAGCAGCTAATAGACTTTAACCAGGCTAAAGAAAGCCTGCTTTAAAAGTAACTTTAAGGTAGATAGAAGGTTAAACCTTTAGGTAATAGACCTTAGTAAAAAGCTAGTTAAGAGCTATATACTAGTAGTTAGTTATATAGTAGTACTTTTAGTAAATAAGATCTTAGTTTTATTAACGATTTATAGTAATCTTTTATAGTAATTACTTACCTTTTTACGTTTAGCAATAAGTACTTATATCTCTTACTAGATATTAATACTTTTAATAGAAAAAGAACTAACCTTAAAGTTATAGTAATCTTTAAAATCAGCTAGCTTTTTTTCTATTTACTTTTCTAGGCTAAGAAAAAAAATCTTTTCTTAGTTATTATTATTATTATTATTATTCTAGATAACTTAATTATTATTATTAACCTAGATAAGGGCTTAGCTCTTAAAAGGGGCCTAATAAAGACTAAGTTATATAATAATAATTCTTAGATAATTACTTTTTACTTACCTATTTTTAAGGTTAAAAATAAATATAAAATAAATAAAAAGAAAGTTATTTACACTATAACAGTAATATTATTAATTACCTTAGTCTTTATATTAGCTTTAACTAAAGCTATATTATTAATATATAGCTAGGACTTCTTAAGAGTAGTTAGCTTATGATTTTTCTAGGTAATAAAGGACTTTTTAGTCCTCTTAAGCTCTTTTATTTCCTCTGTTATTTCCTTAATACGCTTATAAGCTTTTTTAGTATATATATTCTTAGAGTAGTTGTTATTAGCCTTTTGCTTTATACTAGTACTAGAGCCTAGTAGGTAGCTTAGAGAAATATTAGTTAGGTTATTATAATTAATTACTATAAACAAATAGATATAAATAGACCTTGTGAAGGCTAAGAGAAAGATATCCTTAATAGTAAATAAGAAACTAAATAAAAGTTAAAATACTTTTAGAATAAATAAAATAATTAGTTTTTTACCTTTAAATTAATTTTTTTTTAGAGTTATTATTATTATTATTAAAAAAAAAAAAGTAAAGTTAAAAAAAAAGAAAAAGTAAAAATAAGTTAAAAATAATAAATAGGATAACTATAAATCACTTTATTTTTTACACCTTCTTTAACTATTAATTACACCTACTTTACTTATATTCTTTTACTTATTTTCTTTTTTTCTTTTTTTTTAATTTTACTTTTTCTTTTTTAATAATAATAATAATAATAATAATAACTTTTATAAGTTATTTTTTTCTTTATTTTATTTTTTTTAAAAATTACTAATTATTTAGACCTATTATAATACTAGTAGCCTAAGCTTTTTATAAATGCCCTTTAAAAAAGGGTACTAAAAAGCCTTTTATAAAAAAGAATAGTGCTAAAAAGTCCCTTGCTACTAAAGCCTTAGTAAAAAAACCCTTAGCTAAAAAGGGTACTAAAAAAACGCCTAAGAAAGTTAAAGCTACTCCTCTAAAGAAAAGACACTAAAAGGCTAGTAGTAAGTATTTATTTAATTATTATAAGTAATTACTATAATACTAATTTACTCTTAGCTATTACTTTTTACAAAATCCATAAGTATTAGAAGTTAACTAACCTTTTAATAGTAAAAGTACCCTTTTAATATCTTTATAAAGAGATTATATATAATATTTCTTAACAAAATAACCTTTGCTTTTAGAAGGTAATTATTCTTATACTCTAGGAGGCTACTAAGACTTATTTTATAGCTATATTTAAAGGTATATAATTACTATAATTAATTACTATAATAACTAACCTATATCTTTCTAGCTATTTAGTTAGCTACTATTTATACTAAGAGAGTTACTATTATAAAGAAGAATATAAACTATATTAAGTCTATTCTTTTTACTATAAAGCTAATAAATAAAGACTAGTACTATTATTAACCTCCTTTAAAGTCCTTTTAGTCTCTTAGACAAGAGCTATCTAGTTCTAGTTCTAGTTTAGGTAAAGAAAAAGGAAAAACTAGCTTAACTACTACATAAAAGCTTACACTTAAGTAGTACTGTAAAAGGCTTTAGGAAGAGAACCGTAGTCCAATAAGGCTTCAGGAAGAGAACTATAGTCTAATAGTTAAAGAAGATACTATAAGAGAAAATAAGAATACTACTTAAGAGACATTTCTATAAGTAGGCTAATACTAGAAATTACTATAAAGAATTACTATAAATAGAAAGATTCTACTACTAGTACTTAACTTCCTGCCTATAAACCTTTATATAACGTATATGCATAGCGAGTCGCCCATCATAGCGAGCCGCCCACTTTTCCTTAAT